TTTAACCCAGCTGTATGAAACTGGGGAATTTAACTCAAGATCGAAATTTTCAGCCAGGTGCAGTGGCCCACGCCTGTCATCCCAGTGACTTGGGAGGCTGAGGCAGGAGGCTGGTTATGGGGGAGGATTGAGAGTTCAAAGCCAGCCTCAGCAACTCAGCAACCCTGTCTCTAAATAAAATACAAAATAGGGCTAGGGATGTGGCTCACAGGTTAAGTGCCCCGGGTTCAATCCCTGGTACCAAAAAAAAAAAAAGTCTAAATTCTCAACTTTTCTAAAGTAGAAAAGGATGGTCTGGCGCATCCCCCCTGCTGCCTCTGCGCATGCTCACCAGGAGCCCCTCCCCCGCCCCCAGGGGACTGGCACTGGCTGCGCTCTCCCGTTGGCCACAGTCCCCACCGCCGGGTCCTGGGAGAATGGCCTTGGCAGCCCGTCTAACTCCCCACCCGGTGTCTCTGTTATGTCCCCAGCATGTCCCCAGCGCCAGAAACTGCTCAGTGAAGAAAGTGCCTAATTAGTCACTAATTAATTTGTAGTTTTTAAACAAAAGCATCTCCAATGATGACAGAGATACTGTAATGGTTAGGAGCAGGCATTTAGAGAGAGAGAGAGAGAGGTCAGACTGGATTCAAGTCCAGCTTGGCTGTGTGGCCTCAGACAGCTTGCTCAGTCTCTCTGGGCAGGTCACGAGGATGCTTTGAAATCAACTACCTGGTGGGCAGGAGATGTGCACCCCAAGGCCACTCCCTCCCCTTGGGTTCATCAAGGGGAATCCAGTAGTGCTCAGCTGGCCCAGGATCCGCTGTCCGCTGGGCCAGGGGCAGCAGTTTGGTGCCGTCATGAAGAGCCCTGGGTCAGATGGCAAAGCCCAGGGGCCGACTCCCTGCCGCGGGGCTGAGGAGAAGTGGCTGGTTCAGCTCCAGCTCTCCCTCCGCTTCCGCCCAACCTTCCTGAATTGAAGAAGCTAAACTGGATTCCTTTCAGCCAGGGTCTGGTGCTCTGCCAGCTGCCAGGCAGCTGCAGACACTGGAGACCGGCATTTGCTACTAAGTGAGAAGAAGGATGGGGGTCAGGCAGGGGCCATCTGCCCTGCCTGTGGGACCGCAGCAGAGGTGTCCTCTACAATGGGGCAGTCCCGCCCGTTGTGGGAGGAGCTTGGGGAGTCCAAGGCCACCCGATGAGGCTCAGCGGCCTGTCCAGCCACTGGGGCCTGGGATTCTGCAGCCTCCGGCAGCAGGGCTGGGAGACCTGGACACAGCCTGGGAAGCCTGCTGCCAGCTGTGCAGCTGAGGACTGTCACAGCGACCAGAGGCCGCTGCTTCCCATCCGCCTTCGCAGCCTCCACGTTGGTCACCCGACGGGGCGGCACTGCAGGAGGGAGACCCCGAGGCTCCCACCAGCCTCGCCGACAGTGCTGACCCGACGTCAGTGCCTCCCCTGCCACTGGCTGTGTGGATCCTGCTCCCTACAACCGACCAGAGACCTCAGGGCCCGCAGGTCAGCCGTCACGGCTCTGTCCACGCGAGTCCTCTGGCTGGCACAGCCTCCACCTACGGAGGTGGCAGAGCAGAAGCGGGATCTCACCTTCCCGCCGTCCTCGCCGTCAGCAAGTGGGAAGCCCGGCTGGTTCCCAGCACACCAGTGCACGGCACAATGACCAAACCGGCAAATGTTTATGTGTGTTTTATCACAATTCCAATTAATAATGTAAAATGCCTCCATACCAGCCGGGCGCGGTGGCACTGGCCTGTCATCCCAGCGGCTCAGAGGGCTGAGGCAGGAGGATCGTGAGTTCAAAGCCAGCCTCAGCAACAGCGAGGCGCTGAGCAACTCAGGGAGACGCTGACTCTAAATAAAATACCAAACAGGGCAGGGAGGTGGGCCAGGGGTCGCTGCCCCTGAGCTCAACCCCCTGTACCGACACTGATGCCTCCATATCATTTTATAATTTAAATGAGCGAATGAAACACAATAAAGTGTTTAGAAAAACAAGCCAACGCCTGTGCCAGCCTCCTGCCCTCTTTGGGGCACAAGGGCCCAACATTCCCCCGGCAGCCCGCACCCTCCCGCTGCGCCCTCACCCACACCCCACCCCAATTCCTCCTCCCCGTCTCATGGGCCTGCCTTTGCTTCCTGAAAAATGTGGGGCCACCTCAGGGCTTGCAGGTTGTCTCTCTTTCCACCTGGATGCTCCTCCGCCAGGTCAGTGGCTCTCGACCCTCGCTGCCCCTCAGGGTCATCGGAGCAGCTCTCACTCAGAAGGCCCCCGTCAAAAGACACCATGGAAAGGGCCGATGTCCTTGGGTGGTTTCTTCCCAGGGAGAATTCTGGCTCAATGGAGACCAAGACGCACCTGTTTTGTGCTCCACCGTGTCCCCAGGGCTCGCCTCAATAAGCAGCTGTGGCCAGAATCCAGGAGTCCCATCACTCGGTTCTGTGGCTGCAGTTCCACAAGTGGCCACCAGGTGGCAAGCGTCAACTACATTAAAAAGTCACCTCTAGACTCTGGTCTGGGGGTCCCAGCGGGTCCCTGGGAGGGATGTGGCCCAGCAAGGTCCCAGCAGCCTCCTCCGGGCTCACCATACCCCATCGCGTCTTCACAGAGTGAGACGTTAGGTGGGCCCAGATGAAAGTTACAGGACCTCCAGCCCTGCCCCCTCTCCACCACGCACTGACCCTCTGGTGCAACTGCCTGGGGCAAGACTCCACGGTACCCCCAGTGTGACAGGTGTACACAGGCTCCTGCTGCGGGTCTGTGTGCACACGCCACCATCAGAGAACCGCAGATGCTCTGGAACTGTACCAACAAGGAACCACAGCCAACGACAGTCAAGGTTTTAGATAAAAGGGCAGGTCAGGCACTACCATTTGTAAGAACTGGGAAAGATGTCTGCGTTTGTTGGAAATCGCCAACCCAGGGACAGGCGGGAAGGACACTGGAGGGAGCCAGCTGGAATGGAAGGGCTTGATACTGTGGGCCCTTGTGTTTCTTGAACTTTTAGTCAGGCGACAGAACTAGCTAGAACAATAAATCGTAAAACTAAAATTCACTGTGCCAGCCATGGACAGGTGCGCCAGGCCCAGAGGCGAAAGGCTTGGCCCGCTGGGGCTGAGACAGTGGGGGACAGCGCCCCATCTCTTGTCCCCTGGGCCCCCTGGCCCTACGGGCTCCAGCCCACCCCGCCTTACTGACCTTCAGGATGAGGTGACAGAGAAGGGGCACATGGGCACCCGTAAAGGGAACTAACAGTTTCTGAGTTTGGATTCTGCCCTTTGGTCACTTCCTTGGGCCTGCTTCCACAGCAGCTGGGCGGAGGGGGCATGGACTACACTCTCAGGTGGCTCCCAGCCAAGCATCAAGGGGAAAACCACAGCCCACTATGTATGTTACAGACCCCGACTAGAGCACGGTGTCTCCAAACCGTCCCTCCAACGCAGCCTTCTTGCGGTCCATCAAGCCCATGAAGCTCACAGTGCCCCGGTCTGGACCATTTCCTCACCTACTTGCTCTCCCACAGCCAGCTCTTCATTCAGGTCTTGGCTCAAACATCCCCTCTGCAGAGAGGAGGCCGGATGGTTCCAACTGGGTAGTCACCTGCGCCTCTTGGTCCTCCTCTACACCATCCCCCTTGTCTCCCTTGACAACACCAGCCCATTCTCTGCTTTTCCGGGGCCCATAAGTAGAAAATGTTCCCATTGTTAGGTGGTTGGGGAAAAAATATTTTGCAATAAACTGAAACTCAAATGTCGGTCTATGACACTTTATGGTTTTTGCCACGTCCACTTATGGTCCCCTTTTGCTGCTTTGGCCACAAAGCCTGACACTCTGACCCTTGGTGGACTTGAGGATCCTGCCTGCATAGATTCACTCCATTACCTTCCTGCGAGCCCAAGGGAGAAGCCCACAGGCCCTTGGTCCCTCCTCTACTCCAGTTGCTGAAACCCCAGCACCTAGCAGGTCCCCTGGGAATTGCTGCCCCACGACTAGATGACTGGTTGTCACCCCAAGGGAATGCAAGCTTGGCAAGGGTGGGGACATCCCACCTCCCATCCCAGTGCCGGGGCAGTGCACACATTTGCAGACCACTCAGGAACTGACACGGCACGCACCTTCAAACAGGGGCCTTGGCAGGAGGGTGGCTGGGGTGGAGATCTGGGGACCACTGGCCAGAGCAAACACGGACCTGCTGCCCAGAAGATCAAGTAGCCTCAGGCTCTCCAGACTGCTGCCCTCTCCCAGGCTTGGAGCATCAAGGCCAGCAAGCCCACGGACATCCAGGTGGCTCAGGTCTCCAAGGCCACAGAAGCCATCCCTACTGCCTCACGCCTTCCTGCAACACCCCCGTGCCAGCAAGGGCTACTGGTGTCAGGTGCCTCCCTGTGGGGGTTGCTGGCCTCTCAGGCCCTCCTCCTGTGTTTGGCTGCAAACATGGACAGCCATCCCCACCATCGGGAAAACTGCAAATTCGAGGACGACCAAGCCATTTTGCCAAAACAGTTTAATTAAAAAAAAAAAAAATGTGAAGAATCTGAAAAACCTGGGAGGGAG